GTGCTGGGATTACAGGCATGAGCCACCACGCCTGGCCTAGTTAATCATCTTTATGCTAAAATCTCTCTGTACAAATGACTGATGAAGATTCTGTCTCTTGGTTATACTCTGATGAATACAATGGAAACTGCCATTATCAGGTGCAGTCACCACACCTGAAAGATGTCTGTGGGCTTGGGAGAAGGTTGAGAATGACCAGACACAGATCTCCTCCTACTTTTCTTGCCTTCTTGGACATATTGGAGGAGGGCATGCTCTGCCTCCTTACGTGTGGTATGGGCATGTGGTGTGCTCTGGCCAGTGATGTGGGAGTAGAAGTGATGGATGTTACCTCTGATTGGAAACATTTAAGAGTCAGTGCACACTCTTCTTGTCTCCTTCTCCTACCCAGGAGGCCCACGATGTAGGTGCCTCAACATGAAGGCCATCTGGGATGCTGAGCCATCACTGCACAGGGAATGCCTGCCCTGGACAGTCACCACTGCTGTCTTTGCCTGAACAATAGAGGCATGTTGTGGAAGGATGCTGAGATTCGGTGCTGTTTGTTACCTCAGCATCCCCTAACTGATCCTGACTGACTGAGATGGCAGGCAAGACCTTAGCTGTTTTGATGTCTACTGCATCATCTAGAACAGTGCCTGGCATACAGTACGCACACAAGAGAGAGGTGATGAATGAATGCATAAAAGTGAGAATTCATGTGGAAGAGTTCTAATAGGAGCAATGAAACAGCACCAAATTTCTGAAACCGTAACAAGAGAAAAATAAACAGAAAGTTTCTGAAAGCAGTGGTTCGCAGCCCTATCAGATATGAGATCTCCATTGCTTAATGAATGTTTTAAAGCTCCCTTTTTACAACACTGAAATGGAATTCACAGATAATGTCACGTACATACAAGGTAATTTTACTAAGATTAATATAATGCTCTAACTGGATATCAAATCAAGTAAAAATGCATTGGTAATTTAATGAGACATATTTCAACATGCCATTTGAGCATGACCACATGAGAAAATGCCTCTTCATAGTCATTGTAAATGCTGCAGATTGAATGCAGGTTGACACTTAGTAGCTGCTGAGGACATTTTCCAGTGTGGGGAACAACTCTCTATAAAGTTATAATGAAGACAAAATATTCCCTGATTAACCCTGAGTTTACAGTTGTGAAAAATTCATGGTTCTGATGTTAAACTACAGTGCAGATAACTACAGCTTCCCTTCTAGTTTGATGGGACATTTACAAGTTGTGAATAACACAGGGCAGTTTTTTTTTTTGAGATAGAGTCTCACTCTGTCACCCAGGCTGAAATGCAGTGGCACAATCACAGTTCACCAAAGCCTTAACCTCCTGGGCTCAAGCAATCCTCCCACCTCATCCTCTGGGTAGCTGGGACTATGGGTGTGCATCACCACACCTGGCAATTTTTTTTTTTTTGTAGAGATGGGGTTTCACCATGTTGCCCAGGCTGGTCTGGAACTTCTGGACTCAAGTGATCCTCCTGCCTCAGCCTCCCAAAGTGCTAGGATTACAGGTGTGAGCCACTGCACCCGACCAGAACACAGGACAACTCTTTGTCACATGAGCCTGTCCTGGACATTGCAGGGCATTTAGTACCCCTGACTTCTGACCATGAAATGCAAGAGTATGCCCTAATCCTTGTGAGAAATAATCAGTCCCGAAAATGTGCCAAACACTTCCATGGCTGTGGGGACAGTTATATCCCTACTGAGATCTGTGGCTCTAAATAGAATATTCTATCCCTGAGGGTCCCTACATCACACACAGACCTTCCCCCATCTTAGTCCACAGAGAGCAGTGAGTCATCACATCGTGGTCACTGCTATTGCCTCACAGTGACCAAAGGGAGGCCACAGAGGAAAGAAGAGGAAGAGAATCCACAGCTTTCAGTGTGGACAGATGAGCAAAGAAGAGTGCATTTTCATTCACCAAGTCCTGGAGGTGCGGCAGGGTGGGACAGCCTGTGTGCCTTAGAGGGAAGAAGATGCTTCTGGAAACGTCACAGACAAAACATATTTCTCTTCCACGTGCATGGGAATGAGTCAGCTTCCTCTGCATGGCTTTCCTGTCTTCATCAACCCTCACCCTGACCTTCTGCCTGTGTGACTGCAATCAGCATAACGCAACAACAGGATGGTCCATCTACATTCAGGAGGTCATCTACAGCCTCTTCCACGCTTGTAATCTCCTAGGTAATAGGAAATGGCCATTGTTGGCCCCTGTACCAGTGGATCCTGTTGGTAGAAGGTGCCCAAGCTTGACCCAGGTCATTGCTCCAAGGTGTCCTTCAGAAAGAAGGAGTGAGGGCTACTTCTTCCAGACTTGGACATCTGTGTGATTGGCAGCCTTCCGCCCAACTCCTGCCATGCACAACCTGCTCAACCATGCACAGTGGTTCTAGAAGATAGTTCTTGACTTGATAACAGTGAATAATGTTGAGTTATCATACCACTGGATCTTTTGCCAAATGCTTCCTGGGCCCTTCATTCTAACACTTTTCTGGAAAGAAACTGTCCTGCATTATGTGTGCTGGGCTTCCCCTCTAGTTTTATGGTCACCCTGGCAGGCTGTGAAGCACAAGGCATTCTGGGACTTCTGCTTAAGACTTACTCCCACTCAATATTTATTGACCAATAGGACCACCGACTCTTTCACTAGAGACCATCTATCAAACTGCTTCAGTTCATCTGCTCCTGCCAAGGCACTCTCTGCAAGTTCCTGAGTAGGAAGCCTTCCTTGGCTTTGCAGATAGATATCTGTGACTTTTTCCGACTTCTAAGGAAAGAAGTCCCCCCAACATCTCAAAGAGGGCAGCAGGTTGTTGGACTACGAGAGCAAGAGCTTGTCTGACTTCCAGTGACCTCACTGGAGTGTTTCTCAGCTCACAGACAAGTGTGGCTGGTGGTGCACACCATGACTTTGAAGGTGGATGAGCATAAGGAAGTTTAGTGCAGAGAATCTGAGACAGGCTCTGGAGCTGGATGCGTGGGTTCAAAGCCCAACTGTAGCCCTGTGGCTACAGTTGAGCAAGTTGCTTAATCTCTTCTTGCCTTAGTCTCCTCGTTTGTAAAATTGGGATAATAACAGTACTTGCATTTTAGGGTTACTGTGATGTTCAATGACTTAATATGGTTGTAACAGTCTTTATTCATAAGAAGCTGGCATTCATTATGTTATGCATTAGCTATGAACATAGTTCATAGCTAACGCATAAAATGAACATATGTTCATAACTAATGCACATAATGAATGTCAGCTTCTTATGGTTTCATGGCATTACTACTAATGATGAGATAATAATACATCAGTACACGTATTGATAACAATACAGGTGGTCCTCAGATATGGCAGAAATCCTTATGGCTGGAATTCGGGAAATGGAGTTTCAGTAGTATATCCATAGCATGCGCTCAGTGGCTATTAGGCAGAGTTCACCTACTAGCATTTGGCAGCGTTTTTGTGCTTTCCAACTGGTAAGGCAGTTATTTCTTAAGACTAGACTAATTCCTTGTTGCTGCAGAATATTCCCACCTCCCAGCATTTGGCGCTCACGTGCTGTCTCTCCTAAACGAACACCACCCGCACGCTGAGCATTACTGGCTGCTCCATGTCCGCCGTGTGGTACCTAGAAAACTGCCTGAAAGTTTTATTTTCCTCCTGATTTCGGCAGGTGGGGCCGAGACAAGCTGCTTGCTTGATTTTCTGACCTGGTTTCTTGCTTGCATTCCTGGGTTTGGGGAGATGACTCATATCTCAAAGTCCTGGATAGTAGACGACGTACTTGCAGACGATGTCCCTGGTCCTGTTTAGGTTGTGGCTGTGATGTTCAGCAGAACGGAGATGACTCGGCTCAGGTGAATCATCCCCAGAGGCTGTGGCTGGCTCAGGTGCTAGGGAACATAATGAGCCGCTTGGTTCATTCAGACTCTTCTGTCTCCTCTGCTAATCCTGGGGAAGCACTCCCTGGTTCTTACACGGACACACTCAGATGTATGCAGTATTTCCCAAACTTCAGCAGTGCTCAATCTACATGCAGAATGACTGCCATACACACACATCGTCTTGAGTTTTCAATATTTTGATTACTTTTTTCAAGACTTTATTATGAAAAATGTTAACCATAGAGAAAGATAAATTGTACCCACTCATACCCACGGCCTCGCTTCCGTAAGTGACATTCTGCTGTGTTTGCTCTATCGCATATCTGTCCACTTCCCAGCTCTCTATTCATCTTCTTTTGTGATTCACTTCAAAGGAAGTTGCAAACATCTGTTTACCCCTCGATGCTCTAGACTGCATGCTATTAACTAGACTTCAATAATCAATTTCTTGTTTTATGTAAAAAACACAACTTTGTACTATTACCAGAGATGGAAGACGACTATCACCGAGCATAAACACAATTAACTCCTTTTAAATAAGGATAGCAAAAACACAGTAGTGTTAGCAGACACCAATAGGATGTGTTCAGAGCTTCTGAGGGAGGAAGAGACTTCAGGCCTGAATGGCCATGTGAGTTTTTCCTTCTAGATGAAGCTGAGGCATTGCTAGGCTCTGGATCTGGATGTTCTGGGTTAACATTGTTCCAGCTCCTTCACTCTCTGGCTGTGTGACCTTGGACAAGTCACTTAACCTTTCTGTGCCTTGGCTCCCTCTTCTGTGAAATGGGGATGGTGATCATGGGACCAACTTCACTGGGTGGTTGGAAGAGTAAATGAGTTAATACATACAAACTCCTTAGACTTTGCCTGCATGTAGCAAACATCCAATTCATGCAGTCACCCTCTGATATGGTTTGGCTGTGTCCACACCAAATCTCAACTTGAATTGTATTTCCCAGGATTCCTGCATGTTGTGGGAGGAACCCACTGGGAGGTAACTGAATCATGGGGGCTGGTCTGTCTCATCCTAGTCTCGTGATAGTGAATAAATCTCATGAGATCTGATGGGTTTATCGGGGATTTCTGCTTTTGATTCCTCCTCATTTTTTCTCTTGCCACCACCATGTAAGAAGTGCCTTTCGCCTCCCGCCATGATTCCGAGGCCTCCCCAGCCACATAGAACTGTAAGTCCAACTAAACCTCTTTTTGTTCCCAGGTTTGGGTATGTCTTTATCAGCAGCGTGAAAATGGACTAATACACCCTCTCTCTACCAGCGGGTATAGTCTGATGAGGTCTATGCGGCAGCATAGGGTGGCAGCCGTGGAAGAATGCTGTTTAAATGTCCCTTCAAGAGGGAGTCGCCAGAAGGAGAATCATTCACCACAGCCTCTGTCCTCAGGGGCCTTCAGAAGGCACCTGGTCAGTGTCCAAGCACAGCCAAGGTGCAGGGTGGCTGCTGGGACTCCATGCGAGGCTCCTCTATGGACAACCTCTGTGGCAACACTTCCTGCTTGGCTGCCTGAGAATTCCCAGGGCTTCCCGCAGTCAGGCACTTCCTGCCCAGTTTTCCCTCCTTCCCATCCTCCTTTCCCAGGGACCAGACCTGCACTGCATCCTGAAGCTCAGCCTTCCTACTCCTGCTCCATATTTTCTTTATCCTCCACAACTGCAGTCCTCAGTTAATCTCTGGTGCATTTAACTCTGTCTGCTTCCTGAAGATGCTCATGGATTCTGAGGATTCCCCACGTGCTGTGATGTGACAGTCAGGGGCAAGGGAGGAAAACAGCCAGCTCCACTACCTGTCTACCCTCCCTCCCAACCATTGAGAAAGTTCCCCATTAGAGGTTCATTCCTTTGGCCCATGAAGCTTTTTGATTCCTATTAACCTTGAGTTAATTTTCTGAGTTTTTTTGTTTGTAAAATACAACATATATACTAATGAACATCACATATATAAATGGGTTGTATGAATAATTGTAAAGCAAACTGTGTACCAGCAAGTGAAAACATCATAACACACAGCCCCAGAAGCATCCACAATCCATGAATAATAGCCCCCTCCCCATGAGGTGCCTAAGTAAGGAAAGACGACGGGGAGAGGAGCTGCCAGGGGAAGGACCAAGGAGGTACTCTGTGGCTCAGGCCCCTGGCTCTGCCTGGCCTCTCCTTGTTGGCACAGATCAGCCCGAGGGCCACACCGCACACCACGGGCCCATGACCCTCCATCAGAGTCACTGGGCGCTGGCTGAACAAGCACCTTCAGTGAGCTCTGGATTATAACACAGCTATGAAAAGAAGCTAGCTGGTGCTCTTCCTACCCATATGGAGAGATTTCCAGGGCAGATTTCAAAGTGGAAAAGTCAGAGGTAATACAGGAGGGCCTGTGTGCCCAGCTCCCACTGTGAAAACCAACCCAGTGTGCCCAGCTCCCACTGTGAAAACCAACACAGCTGATGGGGATTCCTCTCTATTGCTTTCTAGGTTGTCGCTGCCCTCAACCTCCAGATGCAGCCCCCTGCCACCTTCAGGACCCCTGGCTCTCCCTTTGACTCAGTAGTGAAAGGGTTTCTGTGCTTGGAGGGAGTCCTTCAGGAATCTGTGCATAGAATGCCATAGTACAGAGGAAAGTAAGACTATGCAGTCGTATTTGACTTAAGACCACCATAAGGATACATAGGGAAGCGACAAAACCTACAGGGAGCAGGGGAGGAAGAGGGATGGGGCTGCAAGCCAGGGGATGCCTGCGGTCACCAGGAGACAGGGGAGGCAGGGAGGATCCTTTCCCAGAGCCTCTGGAAGGAGCGCGGCCCTGCCCACACCTTGATTTGGATTTCTGGCCTCTGAAACCGTGAGAGAACAACTGACTGCTGTGGAAAGTGACCTAAGTTTGTGGCAATTTGTTACAGCAGCCCCAGAAAATGGAACAGCTACTAAGTGAGACTCCTCAGCCAGGCCAGAGAACGTGCATTCTGACGGACAGCTTCTCATTTGCACCGATCACTGTGAGTGCCTGATGGGGAGGCATCCGGCGCCCAGAGAAAGAGTTGTTCTATAATCCTTGCACTCCTAGAAATGAGTGCTTCTTACCAAGATGAAATCCACTCATTATTTATGAATGGCTCAGTTTTGATTTCATCTTCCAAAGTGGGTGATAACTGATCATGAAAACCTCCCTCCCTCTCAGTCTCTCAACAAAAGTCTAGCTTTGCTGGTTGCTTTGAGCTGGAGTGTTCTCTGCTTAATATCTAGCAATGCCAGACAGTAATCTTTACTAGGCTAACAGGAATGCTGTCCAAAATGTGCATTTCAAACACCTCATGACGTATTTGCAGTCTAGCGTCACATATTTAATGTGTTTATCCAGTAAGGGTACCGTCCCGGGTGGCATGGAGGGCTTGACCAGCAGTTGGGGTCCCTGGCACTCTTCATGATGCCCGTGTTTTGCTGCTGGTGGAGGAGGGTGGCAGTGTCAGGGCTAGAAAAAAGTCTGCTGTATCTCTGACATCATTCCTGGCTCCACAGCCTCTTTACCTGGTTTTCCACCCCTCCTGGAGATTCATGGTAGTCAATACCCTTTTAATAAATTGAGTAAGTTCAATTTCTGCATAAATCAGCCAGAGTTGCTTTCTATTGCTTGCAAATGAGGATTCTAACAGTGACAAAGACTGGGTATATTAATAAGGGCTGTCTGAATGCATTCTGGGGTGAATGTATGAAAAGTTGGGAAGGACAGGCAGAATCCTCAGGCTTTGAGTCCACATAGGAACCAGGGTTTACACCTGTGCTGTCCAAGGTAGTAGCTGCTAGTCACATGTGGCTCTATAATTTTAAATAAATTAAAATTAAGTGGCCATGCATGGTGGCTTATGCCTGTAATCCCAGCACTTTGGGAGGCCAAGGTGGATGGATCACCTGAGGTCAGGAGTTTGAGACCAGCCTGACCAACATGGAGAAACCCCGTCTCTACTAAAAATATAAAAAAATTAGCTGGGTGTGGTGGCACATGCCTGTAATTCCACCTACTCAGGAGGCTGAGGCAGGAAAATCGCTTGAACCGTGGAGGCAGAAGTTGTGAGCCGAGATCATGCCATTGCACTCCAGCCTGGGCAACAAGAGCAAAACTCCACCTCAAAAATAAAAAGAAATTAAGTAAGATTAAAGATTTACTTCCTCTGTTGCACCAGCTACACTAGGAGACTAGGAGTGCTCAGAAGTCACAGTGGCTGGGGGCTGACACATTGGTCTGCACAGGTTGAGAACATCCCTGTCATCACAGAAGGTCCTGGTGAACAGCGCTAGCTTAGAGAATAAAAGAAAAAGCTCTCTTCCTTGTGACCCAAGAAAGCCCTGAACCTCTTTTTGCTGTGAGTGTGAAGGGAGAAGCCACCTTGATTCTACTGTGTGAAATATCCCATAGTCCCAAGGTTTTGCAATCTTTGTGCTATTGCTATTGAGGGAAGATGATGTAATGATGTATTAATTGACATGGTTTTCTTTTTTCCTCTGAGCCAAATGCTTTTACTTCTACTCTAAAGGTCTTCTTTCTGAAACCAGCCCAACTTTTCTCCCAGAGAGTATCATGGAACTGAACTTTCAAGATCACGGCATCTGGACATCGAGACAACAGAACCCTCATCCGGCCACCTGCTGCTTGCTGACCAATTCCCATATAAACCGCTAACTTCAGTCAGTTGGAGAGACGGATTTGAGATTTGCCTTCTGTCTCACAGCTGATGTCACCAGCAATAAAGCTTTCTTCCCTGACAATACTCATTGTCTCAGTGATTGGCTTTCTGTCCAGGGAGCAACCGGACTTAGGCTGAACCCCTGGTGTTCAGCAACACTCCCATTTCAAATAGTTAGAGATTCACCCACTCTTTTAATAAAAACCTCCTGAGAACCAGCTATGAACCAGGATTACATCTGGGCTCTGGAGATACAGGAAGAAACAGAATAGAAACAAACATGTCTGCCTTCATGGGGCTTACACACTGGGGAACAAATGACAATCAGTAAAAAGATACATTTAAAAAGTTGTATTAGCAACAGGTGCTAAGGAGAAAAATAAAGCAGTGAGGGGTGCTAAAGTGTTCTAGGGTGGAGAGTTTGTAGCTGTAGACCCGTCGGCCAGTGAAAACCCCACTGAAAAAGTGTCATTTGAGTCAAGACCAGAAAGGAGACAGGAAGAAAGCAAAGTAAGTATTGGGGGCAGAGATAAGAGTCATCTCCTTCTGGCTGGGTGGTCTCTGTAGAAGGAGAGCAATACATGGCTTGGGGCATTCTTGGCTCTGACATTCCACAGACATTGATCTTGACAGAAGACCAAGGGGCCACTCGCAGCAAGAGTTCACAGCATGTAGATGAAATTGGGACTCTGCCAGCTGTGTAGGGGGTGGAGTGGACAGTAAAGGCTTCATCAGGAGGAGACCACCACCCACGCAAGCTCCAGGAAGTGCCTGGAGACCATTCATTTTCCCTACTGTGAGGGCCAAGGAACTGTCCTTTTCTGGCCTCAGGTGCAGACATCCCTCAGCAACAGCCAGTTCAATACCAGTTGTCCATGCATAGGAGGTACACCTGCCTGATACCTGGGGCTTCACCCAGCATTGCATACACTCTTGGCCAGGGATCCTTGGATGAGAATTATTTGTTCCCTGGTCCCAGGGGACATAAGGCAATGTCTGGGGACATTTCCATTGTTACAAGGGGGAGGGGGATGTTATTGGCATCTAGTTAGTAAGGACAGTGATGCTGCTAAACATTCTATATAATGCACAGGACAGCGCCCACCACAAAGAATTATCCAGCCTCAAATGTCCATGGTGTCAAGTTTGAGAAACAGTTGCAAACTCCTTTCCTTCCTTCCTTCCTTCCTTCCTTCCTTCCTTCCTTCCTTCCTTCCCTTTCCTCCCTCCCTCCCTCCTTTCCTTTTTTTCTCATTTCTTCTCTTCTCCCTCCCTCCTTTTATTACTATAACAAAACTTTTAATTTATTTTTATTTAACTTTTTATCGCATACAGCTAAGTGTACAAATCATGAACGTGGATGCAGGTCAACGACATCTCATGAAGCAAACAAACTTACTTCATCCAGACCCACTTCAACAACCAGAACACTGTCATCCTGCCAGACGCCCCTCCCATACCCCTCCAGCCACTACTCTGGCTCTTATCCTCTGAGTAAACTCTAACCTGCTTTCGAATGTCACCACCTCGTTTTCCCTGCTGTTGACTTTTGGAGTCAATGGAATCACACCAGATGTATGTGTTTTCCTAGTTCCCTTTACTTAATGGAATGTTTGTGAGATTGGTTCGCATTGTTGTGTGTGGTTGTATTTTGTTCCTTCTCGTTGCTGGATAGCATTCCATTGTGTGAATATATCACAATTTATTTGTTCATTTTACTATTTCTGGACATCTGGGTGTTTCCAGCTTCTGGCTATGACTGATAATGCTGCCATGAACCATCCTGTACATATTTTTTGATGAAGACACTTAGGCATTTCTGTAGGGTATATACTTGGCATGGAAAGGGTCACAGAGCTCATATACATCCTCTTTTATTTTCACTCAAGCTGCTTTATTTCTGCAAAAGTGCCCAGAGCCTTCTTTTAAAAACATGAACTTATCACATAACTACCAGTGACATCTCATGTCGCTATCCAGACATGGTCTAAAGACACACCAATTGTTTTCCATCGCTTTAGGATAAGACATCAAATTCTTAGCAGGACCCACAAGCATGATCTGGCTTCTGCTGGGATCTTTGAGCTCAGCCAACATGATTATCTTCCTGGACAACGCAATTCACCTTCTCTAGTTCCCTGAACTTGGAATGATGGGAGAGCGTCTCTATCAAGACCCCAGGATGTGATTAAATCTCTGGGATGGAGGTCGGGTCTGGGGGAACTAGAAGACTGTGGATATGAGAGAGGCACTGCTTGTTCAAATGCATGCATCGTGGGACTCAGTGGAATGGACTATAAATCTCTTACTAAAGAGAGCTGGGGTCAGGACATATTCCTGTGTTATTAAATAAGGATACTCGGAGTGTATGAAGTGGAAAGTATGTGTCTTGCCATGATGAAGATGTATTTTCAGATGCAGAAGAAAAACGTGGGACAGGGACGGTGAGTCAGGGCTGGGTGGACACTGGGAGCCCCCAGGCACACTGGGCAGTCAGGACAAGTGAGCACTGCTCCCACACCAGTGGAAGCCAGGGCCCGGGATGCCTACGTCACAAGCTCCAGGCAGAGGAGACACATGGGCCTCACCTGGATGAGTGTCTGCCGCTTCCTGGCAGGACTGGCTGGAGAAGTCAATGCAGGGTGCTCTCAGGGGGCATGTGGTGGTGGCCACACCTCCCCTTGGCTGGATACAGCCTTCTTGAGGATATGGAGGGGCCCACAAAGGGGACAAAGGGAGCAGTACTGGACACAGGCATTATTCAGAAACCACAGGCACACACTCTTTGGTTTTGGCTGCATTCAGGATAAAAATGCCTCTGCAGGCCATCTGCAGAGAAATTCCCCCTCGCTGCCTCTTTGCAGGCACCCCGTGAGACTCCTGCCTCCAGCCAGGGCCTCCTCCAGAGGAAGACCTTACCCAGAGAAGTCTAGGGTTTGTCTCCATCTATGGAGCTGAGAAGGTTCGGCTGGGGAGTCCAAGGTGCTCACCTGGCAGGTGAGTGGAAGAGAAACTGGTTAAAGTGGGAAGATCCGACGGAAGGTAGTGAGACCTTATGGCATGGAACATAGAGGGAAATGATACATGGTCACATCTCACTACTATTCTTCTCAGGTAAAGACAACAGCTGGCCAGTCCTCGTCATTTATTAGAGAGAAAGGCACATTAACACTGGAAATCTAAATCTGTATGCCCAGTGGAGAATGATAGTAATAAAAGCAAATGTTTAGAAAGACCCTGGGAAGAGAAAGTAAAGACAAGCCACAGACAGACTGGGAAGTAATAGTTGCAAACACATATCTGATTAAATAAAAACTAGTATAGAAAACATACGAAGAATTCTTAAAACTCAACAATAAGAAAACCCAATTAAACAATGGGCAAAGATTTGAACAGACATCTTACCAAAGAATATACACAGATGGCAAATAAGCATAAGGAAGGATGCTCGGTGTTGTATATATCACCAGGGAATTGCAAATTAAAACAACAATGAGATGCCATGCCGTTATATTCCTAGTAGAACAGCTACAATCCAAAATACTGACAACACAAAATGCTGCTGGGGTTATGGAGCAACAGGAACTCTTATTCATTGCTGGTAGGAATGCAAAGTGCACAGCCACTTTGGAAGAGAGTTTGGTAGTTTCTTATGAAGTTAAACATATTCTTGACATTCAACCAAGCAATTGTCCTCCTTGGCATTTACCCAAATGAGTTGAAAATTTCTGCCAAAAAAAAAAAAAATCTATATGTGAATGTTTAGAGCAGTTTTATTCATAATTGCCAAAAATTGGAAGCAACCAAGATATCCTTTAGTAGGTGAATGGATAAATAAACTGTGGTGTGCTATATAATGGAACATTATTAACTGATAAAAGGATATGAATTGTTAAACCATGAAAAGACATAGAGGAACCTTAAATACATACTACCAAGTGTAAGAAGCCAGTCTGAAATGGCTATATTCTGTATTCTATATTATATTCTGTATATATTCTGCAAGACATTCTGGAAAAGGTAAAACTATAGAAACATTAAACTGATTGCTGGTTACTAGGGGTTCAGGGGGAGGAGTGGGGAGGAAAGAATAGATGGAGAAGAGGAGATTTCTAAGGCAGTGAAACTATTCTGCATTATATTATAACGGTAAATGCATGTCATTATGTATCAGTCAAGACCCTAGAATTTACAACACAAAGTGAACCCTAATACGAACTTTGATAAACACAAAAGGATCAGTTTAGGTCTGCCCCAAAAGCTGACATTTATATAGTATTTACTATGTTCCAGGCACTAATATAAGTGTTTTCCACATATCAGTTTACTTAATTTTCAAGACAACCCAATGAGGAAAGCGTTATTATCATGACTATTTTTTGAGAGGCAACTAAGGCACAGAGACCTTAAGGAAATAGCCCAAGGCCAAAGCTGGGGCCCAGCCTTTCTACAGGGGCTGCACCTTTAGGCATTATACGATCCTGCCCTGGGTATTCTAACTCAAAAAGGCCAGTAGGCTCTGAAATGATGATGTGTGATCTCAGACTCTATGGCAGTGAAAGGAAGTATACTTATAACAAAGACTACATGTCTCCTTTTAAGGGTTTTTTCTTTAATTCACAAAGCTTCGTCATATTTTACGAATGTTTCGTATTTGCTTTTAAAGTCTGACTACTTCACTGGAGACTTTGTTTTCCATTGGTAATTACTTTTTGTCATAAAAATGGGGAGTTGATATCAACTCATGACTAAAATGAAATTGAACAGGAGGAAGCATGTGCAGTGACACGTTAGACCCTCCTGTCCCGGCTAGAGCTCCCCAGCTCCCAACCTGAAGGTAACTGTCGCTACTGGTATTTTGTGCATCTGCCCAGAGAGAGTCTATGCATATGCCAGTACTTAATCATGTATTTTCTCCTTCTTTTGAAACATAATGGCCACCTTTGTATGTTCTGTGCTTTTCCCCTAAAAATACAGCTTAGAGATATTGCAAAATACTTCTCAATAAGTTTCAGGATTCTAACATTCTGAAGTCAAACATTCAAAACCATACTTTTGACAATGGTAGCATACTTTTGACAATG